GAGAAATCGCAGAACCTGGACGGTCCTCACGGGGCGAAGACGAGGCCCGGAGGCTGCGGGATCGGCCGTCTCCACGCACTCCCCCGGCGGACAGACGGGAGCCGCCGACCGGCCTCGGTTGGTTGACGAGAGCACAGCACACGGCGCGGGACCCTGGCCCCCGTGGCCTGCAGACAGAGCCTGGCACAAGGGACGGGGAGGGCGGGGGGGGCGGCAGCCGGGAGAGGGGCGCTCTCCTTAACTGGCAGTTAAGCACATCAGTACATTTCACCTCTGCGCACGGAACACTTGCATCCATCTCATCTCCTCCGAGGAGCCTGACGGCATAAATCAGGAGCGAGCGGAGTTTGTCAGGTCTGAAGCCCCTATGATGGTATGTGTCAAATCAGTTGTAGCTAATCTGTCCCGGGAGGACGCTGGCTTCATTACACTTGTATAGTTGAGTTCTTGCAGCATTACCGCTGTTTAATAGAACATGATTAGTCATCACCGGCGAGAAAGCATATTAGCCGAGGAGGTAGTTACGCGGCACGCTCCGGTGATTGCCGCGATGTGATTGCCGCGCGAAGCATCATATTATCCCAGACATGTTCTTCCGAGCCCTTGGAGCCCTCCTTTCTAAATTCACTGTCATAATTTAGTATCTGTTTAATTTTTCAGTCCAAAGAGAGGAGATCAGTTGCTGAGTAGTATCGGACCGCAGTCTCCTTGGTGCAGAAAACAAAATGGGGGAAAAAAATAAATACATAAGAGGAACCCGGAAACTCAAAGGGCGACCGCGGGTTCCGCCGGCGGGGACGTTTCGGGCGCGCTTAGGCGACCGAGTGAAAGCATGGGCGGCTACTTTTGTGGCCCCCCCCTTCCCCCCCGAACAGGAGAGATGTTTTATGTCCTTTCACCAGGGTGGACACCTTGGGTCTCAGTCACTCCCGGGCCACGCTGCCCAAGTCGCACAGGCTCCCGCGTGAAGCCTTCAGATGAGATGTGTGGAAATCTATTGGAATAAAAGACGTTCATAAATATGCATTGATTTTTGTGCGGACGGATGGCACCTCTGTTAATTTATAAATGGAGCTGGATGTGAACTGAGAGCGTGCAACTGGTTGAGATAAGAGGTTACAGATCATTGTACATGGAGAGTGTTCGCAGCGGTAAACACTTCCATTAACGTGATGTACAGCTTCGGGAAGGGGGCCCATCAGAGTAAGATGGTAGGACAATTTGCTTATTAAAATCGAGAAAGGGGAAAAAAAAAAAAGACCCGAGCCTGTTAGAGGGGGGAAGGGGCGTGCGCACCCGCATCATGGGAAACTGACTTAGATCCGATGCCGCTTTCGCCGCCCGGACGGAGGGGCTCTGCCAGGCGGGGGGTGATTTTCCAAACGCCAGACCCGGCGCGTGGCAGTGATAGACACGTGGTAGACTGTGACCACCGCCGTCGGAACCGTGGCACAGACTGGCCCGTGAGAACCCCTGAGACTGACCTGGTGGCCAGGCCTCCCGTTTTAGTGTGTCACCTGACCGTCCTCGTGGTATCAGGCTGCCTCAGACTCCAGCCACCTCCAGTGGGGTGGCCAAGCATAGCAAACCAAATCGAGACACCGCAGGTTGCAAAGGAAAGGGGGTGACCGTGCCCGGAGTCCGGTGGCAGTGTGATAGGGAAGGAAGGCTGTCACGTGGAACACAAGGCCACGTTTGCCTGGCAGCCTCGGGACATTCCTTGCTCTCACATATTCAACCTTCTATTTTGTAAGAGTTTTTTCCTCCTTTCACTTTTTAAAAAAAAAAAAAAATTAAAGTAGGTGGGAAAAATAAAGCTTTACACAGAATTTCTATGTAGGCCCTTGTTTCGTGGACATCTCTGACCATTCAGTTCAGCGGAACATGGCAGAAAGACCAGGCGCGGACAGCAGGCCCTCGGCCCCTCGCCCGGGTTTTAGCTCTGGGTCGTCGCTGTGTGGTTATTTTAAATGTGAGCAGGGAGAGGAAGTCATTGCCCGGCTCTGAGGACACATTCCTGCCCTGACCCGGCGCCACCGTCCGCTCCACACAGCCGTAGCCTAGACTGTACGTAGTGAGCACAGACTAAATGCAATTCTTAACTTATTTCATCGTAGTGAGTTCCCAGTAGGAATGCTTGACCATAGCGAAGCCTGCTTTTGAAGAGAAACAGGATTCCTCGCAAGGTTCTCTTCGGGGTGTATATGAGTGTACATAGTATTATATGTGTTTATAATATAATATTTTCCCAAATGCCTTGTTTTTTCACAGCATTTCATGCCCCGAATGCTAGATTGGTTTCTCCCCTCCCCTCCCTCCGGCAGGGGCCCTTCACTGATTCCTCCCTAGAAAAACTCGACCCCTCTTCTTCTCTTTCCGACGATGTTGGTGGTTCCGGGGGGCAGCCTGTCTCCTTGAGTTTGGGCAGCAGAGAAAGGCCTCGGTGGGCTGCAGGGTTTTCTCTTCAGGCCAAGGTGACCGGTGGCTAATGTGTCTGTACCTCGGTGTGAGTCTAGGTGTCTTTGCTAACCGCGCTCTCAACCCCGCTGGGAAGCCTCACCTACCCCGAGGCTGGGAGCGAGGGCCCAGGGCCAGGGTCAGAAATCACCAGCTTGGGAAGGGCCTGAGTTTCCATTGCCTGTTTCCTTGTAAGTTCTCTGAAGTGACAGTGACGAGAAGCCACCACTGCAGAATCCACACAACCTTTCTACTCAGAATTACCACCTTCCCTTTGAGGAGAAACCATCCACTGGGGCAGGCCCATGAGCAGGCGGTCACACGCATGCACGCGCGCGCACACACACACACGTGAGGGTGGCCGTGGGGGACCTCACTGGGTTCCTTCCGTGGCCAGGAAAACCCTGCAGAGGAAGTAGCCTTGATTCTGACCCCGTGTGGGTGGACCTCGAGGACCCAGGAGACCAGGTGGTTTACCAACCCCAGAACCCTGGTCATGGTCCCCTGTCCCTTCCATCCCTTGTGGTCCCAGGAGGTGAGCGGCTTGAGGGAGATCGAGTGACCTACTCATGAGTCCTGGGTCCCACCAGCAGAGTGTGCTCTGGACTCAAACGCCCTCTGTCTCCTCTCCACTGAGCATCCACCTCGCAGGGCCGTCTGCCCTTTCAAAGCGGCGTTCAGCTCGTCTCCTGCCTGCACTCGGCAGTCACATCTTCCCCCTCGAGAGTGGCCATCGGGTCCTGCCCGGACCCCCCGCCCAGCTGTGCTCATGGATTGACATGGGTCCCCGTGTCTCCAACTCTCCCAACCCTTTCTCTTTGCATTTAGAACATTCTGGAAACAAGGGGCAGATCCACACTCCCACCCAGAGAGGTTCAGTAGCGTTGAGACAGTTAGTTCCTCTAAGAGTCCATACGGTGAGGTCTCAAAAGCTTCTGGAAAGGCAGAGAGAATTGGGAAGCAGAGCCGTTACCCCCCGGGGGGGCGCTTCCCCTCCCCCCCATCTGCTCTGTGTGTCACCCCACCCCACCGCAAGGCCGAGTGGACTTTTCTAGAACTCCCCTGGATTGTATTTATGTCCTTCAAGCAAACAAATTGAAGAGCAGCCAGGAAGGAATTGAGGTAGAAACGTGCGGAAGACACACCTCTCGCAGGAAATACCCCTTGTTTCTAGCTGCCTCGGGCGCTGGCTCCGCACGCTGTGAGCGCGTGTCCAAGGACCTTCCCCGCACCCTTCACCGGACAGCTAAATAAGGGCCTTGGCGTCAGACCTGCATTTCCCCTCTTGGCCATGATCACAGGTGTCTTAGCCAGGTTCCCATGTCTTTCTTCAGGACTCTGGTGTGGGCCCCACCTCTGGGCAGCCAGGCCGGGGGCCCCAGGGGTGCTGCTCCGGGGGCAGGGGCCGGCCACCCGCCTGGCTGCTGAGGGCGGGCCTGCCCGCTCAGCCCAGTCCGACTGCTGGGGTGGGCCCTTTGTCATTCATGCTGCCTGCAGGCCACACCTCAGTGACGCTGGAGAGGGGGGAGCAGGTCAGTCCCTGGGGTGGGCGCAGACATCTCTGCCTGGAAGCCATCCCTGGGACCCAGGATGCGTGACATCCGTTCCTAGGGAGAAACGGTGCCGCCCAGGGACAGCACGTCCCCGTTGGACCCCTTACCTCTCACCTCACAAGGGAAATATACCAACTTAGACATTGGTGTTTTAGCGACACAATGTCCCCCTCAGAGAAGAAACGCTTCCTTCACTCGGCTTTTACACAGCCCCGATTTCCCCCTTTCGTTGGATGTCTGCTGCTTTTTTAAAAAAAAATAGATTGATACTTTTTTTTCCAGTTTGGGTCCAAGTTGAAATGAGAGGACATTTCATCAGTAGAGGGTTCTGTAAAACCAGAATGTCTGTTTTTAATCCGTGGCGTTTAGGT